ACGCTATCCTGTCTCTACACTGATGTACATAACACGAGTATGCAGAGATACGATACTGTGTACTGCCCTAGTACTAGGGGCATATCCTAGTGACGGACGCTGTGAAATTGTAGAGGTGCTTGGCACAAGAGAGACTCTGATTAATGTTTATATTAAATTGTATTGATATGAGTAATCAGTAATAATGTGAAAGACATTAATGCAACTCCTAGTGCGACCGTCTGTCGTGTTGGGGGGGGGTGTTGCAACCCCTGAATGGGTTGTAATGATTATTATGTATATATGGAATTATTACCTTTTCATTTAATTTTATATTGCTTATATTTGCGACAATAGCTAAATCGTAAATGTATTGCTTTATATTGTTATTTGACGTAGCTTCCTTTGTTAGGTAGGATGTAACATATTATGTGCTCAGTTCAAATCTTGATTGTCTAACTACTGTAATTATCGCTTGTGGCTCGTTAGACTGCCGGCTTCTGAGCTGCAGTTGTCCATGGAGCTACCACGTGATCGAGGGGGGGGGGTGTCCTCACCTCGCCTGAAGTATTCATTCTGGTCTAGACTCTTGGTGGTTGGACAGATTGTCTGTCTCATTATTCTTGTTAGTTCTGTAGAACTCTGTTCACAGAACCTTGTATAGACTTAGTGATTTTCGACGTTGTACTGAGGTTGTGTGTCTCATAGATACTCTGAGCATCTCAGGTCCTGGGCTGTAGCTTCTAACCTAATTTGTTCTGGTATCTGTGTATTATCACAGTCGGGGATTTTCTTATGCTGAACTTAGATTCAGTAGTATGGGAGTTTTGTGACTTTTGTGGAGGATCTGCTGATGGTCCCTACTAACTGTCATTATATTATCTCCTTGTTCCTGATTCTGTGTCGCAGTTGCTTGTTATATTGCTATTGGGCTTAGCATTCTTTTTGTTGTTCAAGCAGACTGTTCTGGTTGCCAGTCGGTCAAGAAGTTAGTTGATGTGAGGACTTTGTCAGTCACTTGTTTAAGTCTAGTCGAGTCTTGAGACATAGTGAACTACTTAGAGCACTTACACACATACACAAACTTACTTGTACATATTTGTAATATCTTATTAAATGTTATTGTACCAGACGGTACTTAAGAATTATAAATGTGATATGTGCTTTCAGCACAATAATATTGTTCTCGAGAGATGTGATATTATTTTGATTACTGTGATTAATTTAATTTAATTTAATTTGATAATATACCTCTAGACTTAATAAATTTATTAAATTTTAATTTCTCTAGTTAGTAGCCTACCAGTTGTAATACTGAAGCACTATTGAATCATATTGAATTCTATTGGATAATTGGACAAGGATACTGACTACTTGTTACGAAAACCCAGTAACAGGCTGGATGCTAGAAGGGCAGTCCTTTCTAGTATTCACTGGAGATCTCTAAGCATTTAGATAGAGATTACAGAGGTACGTAATGGGTCCAGGGACTGGGCCCCCAAAGTTTTGATAGCTGAACTAGGTACAAAGGTAATGAGCTCACAAGTTACAAAGGTAATGAATTCTGTAGAATGGTTACTTACGTTTATACTTTGGCTACAATCATGAACAAATTATAGAGTAATGAGCAATTCACACTTCCACACCCGGTCACAACTGTAATGAGTTATTGGTGCAAATATTGATTGTTGAGTCACACACACCACACACACACACACACACACACAAACACACACACACACACACACACACACACACACACACACACACACACACACACACACACACTTTAGTTTAATATCTTTATCCACCCCATACCCATCCTGTGGGCGGTAGTCAAAAGATTACAAAGGTACATAATGGGTCCAGTGACTGGACCCCAAAGTTATGATAGCTGAACTAGTTACAAAGGTAATGAACTCCAGGTAGATCTGGTCACTAATCATGGCAAGTTACAGAGGTAATGAATCAGCTTCACTCCTATACATGGTTACAGTCATGAACAAATTAAAAAGTAATGAACCACTGATACGTCCACACCTGGTCACAATTGTAATGAGTTATAAATACAAATATTAAGTGGATCATACACCCACACTAGCGCGCGCGCGCACATACACACACGAGGGCGCACGCACGGACATGTGCACACGAGCGTACAAATATATGCATACACACAAGGACGCACACCCACACACACACACCCACACACACACACACCAACACCCACACACACACACCCTCACACACACCCACACACACACCCTCACACACACCCACACACACACACCCACCCACACACACACACACCCACACACCATTTTAGAATCGCGTTTTTTGTAACAAATGGGGGCCTGTCCGGGATGCTCTTGATCCAAGGTGTTGGAGAAATTGTCCAGTTTGACATACTAGTAACTCTATGATCAAACACTTTGAGTACTTTCCTAATCTGAAGACTTTGAGTTTAGTCTTGTACAACATAGGTCGATGTATGTACCTGACTGAGTCTCTTGATCCAAGGAGATGGAAATACTGTTTACGAGTTCTAGCTCTAAAGACAACCACCACTAAAATTCCTATTAGGATTATAGTTTCCCATAATCACTCTCTCGTAGTACAATTATTTTCGTGATGTATGCCAAAGTGAAACAGTTAATTGATACTCTGACTTTGTCTGAGTTAAGTACATTAAAACTTCAGATGTGTTGGCGAGTAGCCAAATATCTTGGTGTGACGTATAACAGGAATTACACCGCAGAAACTGTCAGAGTATTAATTAAAGATATATTGTTTCCTGCTCTTACAGAGATGTCTGATTATGATTCAGATTCAGAAAGTCTAGTGTCACAATTAGGAAGTATGACTCTATTTGATTACTTAGAAGAAAGAGCAACTAAGGCAGAAGTGTTTGAGCCTAGTGCAGGTCAGTTCTCGCTCACTCCTTCCCTCACTACACACCTTAAGCTGTTTCATACTCAGATGTCCATATTGCATAGCATTCCACAACCACTACTTAAGAGTGGAATGCAGTCTCCTCTACTATGATCGAGCCTCAAAGTGCCCTGCTAATCTACGCTATCCTGTCTCTACACTGATGTACATAACACGAGTATGCAGAGATACGATACTGTGTACTGCCCTAGTACTAGGGGCATATCCTAGTGATGGACGCTGTGAAATTGTAGAGGTGCTTGGCACAAGAGAGACTCTGATTAATGTTTATATTAAATTGTATTGATATGAGTAATCAGTAATAATGTGAAAGACATTAATGCAACTCCTAGTGCGACCGTCTGTCGTGTTGGGGGGGGGGGTGTTGCAACCCCTGAATGGGTTGTAATGATTATTATGTATATATGTAATTATTACCATTTCATTTAATTTTATATTGCTTATATTTGCGATAATAGCTAAATCGTAAATGTATTGCTTTATATTGTTATTTGACGTAGCTTCCTTTGTTAGGTAGGATGTAACATATTATGTGCTCAGTTCAAATCTTGATTGTCTAACTACTGTAATTATCGCTTGTGGCTCGTTAGACTGCCGGTTTCTGAGCTGCAGTTGTCCACGGAGCTATCACATGATCGAGGGGGGGTGTCCTCACCTCACCTGAAGTATTCAGTCTGGTCTAGACTCTCTTGGTGGTTGGACAGATTGTCTGTCTTATTATTCTTGTTAGTTCTGTAGAACTCTGTTCACAGAACCTTGTATAGACTTAGTGATTTTCGACATTGTACTGAGGTTGTGTGTCTCATAGACACTCTGAGCATCTCAGGTCTTGGGCTGTAGCTTCTAACCTAATTTGTTCTGGTATCTGTGTATTATCACAGTTGGGGATTTTCTTATGCTGAACTTAGATTCAGTAGTATGGGAGTTTTGTGACTTTTGTGGAGGATCTGCTGATGGTCTCTACTAACTGTCGTTATATTATCTCCTTGTTCCTGATTCTGTGTCGCAGTTGCTTGTTATATTGCTATTGGGCTTAGCATTCTTTTTGTTGTTCAAGCAGACTCTTCTGGTTGCCTGTCGGTCAAGAAGTTAGTTGATATGAGGACTTTGTCAGTCACTTGTTTAAGTCTAGTCGAGTAATATCTTATTAAATGTTAATGTACCAGACGGTACTTAAGAATTATAAATGTGATATGTGCTTTCAGCACAATAATATTGTACTCGAGAGATGTGATATTATTTTGATTACTGTGATTAATTTAGTTTAATTTAATTTGATAATATACCTTTAGACTTAATAAATTTATTAAATTTTAATTTCTCTAGTTAGTAGCCTACCAGTTGCAATTCTGAAGCACTATTGAATCATATTGAATTCTAATGGATAATTGGACAAGGATACTGACTACTTGTTACGAGAACCCAGTAACAGGCTGGATGCTAGAAGGGCAGTCCTTTCTAGTATTCACTGGAGATCTCTAAGCTTTTAGAATCGCGTTTTTTGTAACAATAATCACGCTGACACAAAGGTCACACTCACACATCAGGTGACAATCATGCTGATACAAAGGTCACACTCACACATCAGGTGATAATCATGCTGAAACAAAGGTCACACTCACACATCATGTGATAATGATGCTGACACAAAGGTCACACACATCATGTGATAATCATGCTGACACAAAGGTCACACACATCATGTGATAATGATGCTGACACATAGGTCACACACATCATGTGATAATCACTCACATTATTACTCAAAACTCACTAATAGAGGAACATGAAGACTGTTAATGATAAATCACTGTAAATATTTTTTTATGAAAAAAAATATTGTTGTTGTCATCAGTGAAGTATTATCAGTAATTATTTTATCTTCATCTGATAATATTACAACACAAACCTCAGGATATTTAAGAAGGAAAATGTCACGGAACAATTTTTTCATTGCTTTTCTATTTATTTTCCTTTTCTGTTATTCAATTTCCCATTTGTCCTTTGCATATCCTCTCCCCCCTCTTTCACTCTCGCAATGTAATACATTGATTGTTGTCATGGTACAGGAGCTGGAATATGGTGTTCAACATGGTGACGAAGCGATGGTGTTGGACGCCCTCGCTCGCAGCGCCGACGTCACCATAACAACTAAGATGGATAATGAACAATCAGGCTGCTTGTTGTGTCTGGCAGGTAAAGTGGGTCACGCCCAGCTGGTGCCTCACCTTCTAGCAGCTGGTCTTAATGTAAATGGCTCAGGAGAGTCCTTGCTGACACCAATATACGTAGCAGCACGTCATGGTCATGATCAGGTACTGAGAGAACTGCTCAAAGCTCAGCCCAACTTAGAAGACAAGAAATATGAAGGTGAGAACCACAACATCTACTGTATATTATTATCTTATGTATTTGAACTCACGTATTTGTAATGGAATAAATCTAGGTTCATGTGGGGATCTCTGTTGCTAAAACTATATTATTATACACTGATCTTATTATATAACTATATTATTATACACTGGTCTTGTTATATAACTATATTATTATACACTGGTCTTAATATATAACTATATTATTATACACTGGTCTTATTATATAACTATATTATTATACACTGGTCTTGTTATATAACTATATTATTATACACTGGTCTTGTTATATAACTATATTATTATACACTGGTCTTATTATATAACTATATTATTATACACTGGTCTTATTATATAATATATTATTATACACTGGTCTTATTATATAACTATATTATTATACACTGGTCTTATTATATAACTATATTATTATACACTGGTCTTATTATATAACTATATTATTATACACTGGTCTTGTTATATAACTATATTATTATACACTGGTCTTATTATATAACTATATTATTATACACTGGTCTTATTATATAACTTGACATTCAGTTTTGAACTGATCTACGCACAGATAAGACCGCATGTGAAAAATAAATAACTTTGCAAATGTTTATTCAAAGTCACTAGTATAAAAAATCATAACATTTACATTTACACGCTAGAGTATGTGCATATATATGTTCATGTGCGTGCGTGCGTGGCGCGTGTAAGTGATGTGTATGTGTTTATGTGTGTCTCTGAGTACGCATCTCACCTAATTGTACTCACAGGGATCGAATCATAGCTCTTGTCCCCGCTCTATGAGTTTTAGCGTACCTCTTCTTAAAGCTATGTATAAATCTTGCGTCCACTATATCACTCTCCAGACTGTTCCACTTCCTGACAACTCTGTGACTGAAGAAATACTTCCTAACATTAATGTAACTCATCTGAGTTCTGAACTTCCAGTTGCTGTGTCATATTTCTGAAGCATTCTGTCCCAATCCACCTTATCAATTCCTCTCATTATTTTATATGTCGATATTATGTCGGACAAACACCTCAGCTCTGGGACTTGTCTTGCTGCAAACATTTGCACTTCCTCTAATTTCTTGACGTGTTTCACTAGGTGTGGGTTCCATAGTGGTGCTACATAATCCAATATGGGCCTGATGTACACGGTGTACAGTGTCGTGAATGACTCCTTACTTAGATGTTGAAACGCTATTCTAAGGCTTGCCAGGAGCTCATATGCTGCAGCAGTTATTTGGTTAATGTGCATCTCAGATGTGCTCGGTATGTTACTCACCTCAAGATCCTTTAACCTATGTGTATTTTGCAGTCTTTTGACCTCTTAGTCTGTACTCCATCCGCCGTCTTCTTTGTCCTTTCCCAAGCTTCATATCTTTGCATTTGCTGGAATTAAATTCCATGAGCCATTTGTCGGACTAGGCTTGCAGCCTGTCCAGATCCCGTTGTTGGCTTACTTCAACATCATCTGCTTGTATTCTCAATAGCTTCATATTGTCTGCAAGCAGGGATACCTCTGAGTCTGTCTCTTCTCTCATGTCATTCACACAAACAAGAAACAGCAGTGGACCTAGGACTGACCCTTGGAACCCCATTCGACACATGCATCCATTTTGATACTTTATCTCGTACAAACACACGTTTCGTTTCCGTCAGGCACTCCCTTATCCATTGCAGTACTTTCCTTGCTCTTCCTGACTGTTCCACTACCTTTTCAACTGCGTCGAAAGCCTTCTTAAAGACCAAGAAGATACATTCTACCCATCCCTCTCTCTACTGTCTTACTTCTGTTACCCTGTCGTAGAACTTCAGGATTTTTCTTCCCTGAAGCCGTATGCCGTGCTGGTTCTCATGCAGGAGCTTGTTCTTTTCAAGGTGCTCCACCACTCACTCCTGATAATCTTCTCCATAACTTTACATACTATACATGTCAGCGACACTGGCTTGTAATATGGTGCAGCCTGTCTGTCACTCTTCTTAAAAATCAGGACTACACTTGCTGTCTTCTACATCTCAGACAGTTGCCCTGTTTCGATAGATTTACTGAAGAGTGTTGTTAGTGGGATACCTAGTGTATCTGCTCCCTCTCTCAGGACCCAAAGAGAGAGATTTTCTGGACCCACCATATTTGAATCATCGAGTTTCCCTAACAGTTTCCTCGCCGCCTAATCGGTTGTGTGAGGTGTTTCCAGCACTGGCTGGAAGCCTCTCTGTCTACATTGTGAATACTTTCTTGAATCATGAGCTGAGCTCCTCATTTACAGCCTGGTCTTTTCGCGTTTGCTTTCCTCCTTCCTTCCTGTTGCTTTCCTCCTGATATGGTTGTATAACAACTTCGGTCATATTTGGGTTTTGATGTTATGTTATTCTCGTATTAACACTGCACTTCTCTCCTTGTCCATGCATACTCATTTCTGACTCTGTCACTCATCTCACTGTTTTCCTGGGTCCTTTGCCTTCTGTGCTTTCTCGATAATCTAATACACTTGGCTTTGGCCTCTCCACACCTCTGGGCTCCCTCTGATCTTCCTGTTGTTTCTGTTGCCCCTTGGCAAGAACCTCTCCACTGCCTGCCTGCACTTTGTGGTCATGTAATCGATCATTTCATTTATGATCTTCCCCTCTTGTTCTCTTATCCACTGAACCTCAAGTACTAATATCCTAATACCTATGTAGTCCACGATTTGGAAATTTGGCTTTTTCCTGTCCTTCTTGTAATGCTTCACTCACCATTCCTAACCCTACTGTGCATTCGAAACTCAAGACCACGTAATTTCTAGCGCCTAGAGTCCTTTCATGTGTGATATCCCCTATGTCTAAACTGTTCAAGGTGAAAACGAGGTCCAGCCTTGTTGGTTCATCATCTCTCTCTCCATGGTTATGTCCCTAACATATTGTTACATGAAGTTTTCCTGTGCCATCTCCAGCATTATACCTCTCCACGTCTCTGGTCCCCCGTGTGGTTCCACATTCTCTCACTCAGTCTCCTTATGGATAAAGTCCTCAATAATGAGCAACTTTCCCTACTCATGTAGGCCCTTCTGGCAACCTCGGCTAGTGTGTCCACCACCACTCTATTGCTCTCATCATAATTTTGTCTTGGCCTCCTGCACTTTGGTGGCATCATCATCATCACTTTTTGTTAGGTGGCATCATCATCATCATTTTTTGTTTGGTGGCATCATCATCACTTTTGGATCCCCAGTTTGAAGTGTTCCTACAATGTTGTCATCCGCTACTCCTCTGACTAGTCCTCTCATCTCCCTCCGTCCTGAGGAGCAGTACAACTCCTTGCCATCTGTCACCCCTGTGTTTCCCCAGGATCGGATATTCAGACTAGAAAATTGCATCTGTTATCACTCGTGTGAGCTTTGTCTCTGTGAGTACTATGATGTCTGAGGCATGCCTCAGTGATTCTTTCCTGTCACTCCTCACTCTTATTTGAATTCCATTTGCATTTGTGTACCATGCATTCGGTTTCCTTTCTAGAACTGTGTTCTGAGGGTGGGAGGGGTTGGTGCAGGCTGAGGGTTGTGGATGGCAGTTCTGGATATTATGGTAGGTCGCTATTGTGCTGATATTAGTGCTGGAGGGGATGGGGACTGAATGTGGAGTTTGGTTTGGTTCTGGTTCTTGTGTTTGGTTGGTGTTACGTAGAAGGGGTTGAGGGAATTATGTGGATGGTGCTGTGGGTGGTTCTGTAGTCAGCTGTGTTTGTTGCTGCTCTTAAAGGCTGATCTCCTGCCTGTCGGTACCTGTCCGGTCTCCCATTCCAGGATCTGGTGCCTTCTTACTCTTAAGATCTTTCAGTTAAAAATAAAAGCACATATGAAACAAGGAACACTGTAGCAGGCCTACTGGCCCATGCGAGGCAGGTCCAATTCTCCCAGGTCAGTCACGTTCTTTATGGGAGGAGCACGGCATCTGACCTAGTAGCACAAGCCAGTCAGGCCCAACTCACACCCACCCACACCAATTCATGCATTTATCTAACCTATTTTTGAAACTGCACAACGTCTTAGCTTCTATGATGGTACTTGAGAGTTTGTTCCACTCATCCACAAATCTATTACCAAACCAGTGCTTTCCTATATCCTTCCTGAATCTGAAAATTTCCAACTTAAAACAATTGCTGAGAGTCTTATCTATGCTAAATATATTTAGCATGCTACTACATCTCCTTTATTAATTCCTGTTTTCCATTTATACACCTCAATCATATCTCCCCTAATTCTAAGCCTTTCTAGAGAGTACAGGTTCAGGGCCCTCAGTCTATCCTCATAGTGAAGATTTCTGATACACAGGATCAACTTTGTCATCCTCCTCTGTACGTTTTCCAGTGCATTTATATCTATTCTGAAATACGGTGACCAAAACTGCACAGCATAATCTAAATGATGCCTAACCAAAGATATACAAAGTTGAAGAACAACGTGAGCACTTCTATTATTTATACTACTTGATATGAAGCCAAGGATTCTGTTCGCTTAACTGCGAACAGAATACTGCTAACCAGAACTCCTAAATCCTTTTAGCAATCCGTAATATTAAGATCTACATTATTTAGTTTACATGTGCATGGTTATTTCCCTGTCCAACATTTGGAACTTTGCATTTGTCTACATTAAACTGCATCTGCCTCTTCTCCGACCACTGCATCAGTCTATTCAAATCATCTTGGAGCACTCTAATATCCTCATTAGAATGAATTGGACGGCCTATTTTGGTATCATCAGCAAATTTGCTTATGTCGCTATTTATTCCCTCATCTATGTCGTTTATGCAGATTGTGAACAACAAGGGGCCCAGCACTGACCCCTGAGGAACACCCATTTTGTGCCTTTCCCCCCATTCTGATTTCCCCCCAATTTTTGCAAACTTTTGGGCTCCCTTTTTTTGGAAGCCAGGGCCTTCCCCGGGGAAAAAAATTTTAAACCTCCTTTTCCCGTGTCCCTTAAGTTTCCCCCAATAGCCTCTGGTGTGGAACTCTATCAAAACCCTTTTACTAAAACCCCATATACAAAATATCATATTCTTTACCATGATACCTCCTCAAACACCTTAGTAAAAAATTTAGTAAATTCCCCGGAACCCCCCTTTTTTTAAAAACCGGGGTTGAGATTCTTTAATTTAAATCTGTGCCTTAAAGGGATGGTACGTTTGTTTCGGAAATTTTTAAATTGTTTCCCCAAAAA